GAACACTTTTCATAAAATATCACATGCTCGATACAAAATTGCTCAAATATTTGAAAAAAACCTTGAATGATCTCACTCATGGTACTCAGTGTAATGCCATAAAGCTATGTAGTCAAAAGAACTATAAATATTCATTATTGAGAATTTGTTCCTATTTCTTCAAAATCCAAAATCTTGCAAATGCAAAACCTCAAAATGTGAACACCTCCTAATCCGAATACGTTTAGCTGGTCTCTCGGATTAGACAGGTTTTACTGTAGGCGCAATCCCCTCTAAAAGTTACTGAAATCACTGGCTAGGAATTGGTGTTCGCTTACACACAGGTGTTCAATAGAGTAGACTCATATGTTCGCTGGGCATAGATCTTCACTAAAGAGATGTTCATTATGACAGTTCTACTGTACTGAAATCACTGGCTGGGAATTGGTGTTCACTATACACAGGTGTTCAATAGAGTAGACGCATGTGTTCACTGGGCACAGATCTTCACTAAAGAGGTGTTCATTATGACAGTTTTACTGTACTGAAATCAGTCGCTGGGAATTCACTATGTACAAAATTGAAATGTGTGTATGATATCATGTTTTATATTGATAGAAACATGGGCAAGAGGCGCTACAATGGGGTAACACATGGTGATATTCTAAAATACATATTTTTACTCTGCCTCTGTACTTTATACCACTTAAATGCATTTTGTGTATGACATCGATTGATTTTTAGAATAAATAACTACATTTCATCAAAAAGAAAAAAGATTATTGAAAACGTCAAACATTTCTTTGAAATCCATTATTGCACAGCGATTTTTTTTCTCGTTCCAAGACTATCTCTACGTTCTAGTCTTGTGAACGTCTTACAGGCCTGTCAACTGTCCCGCAATTTGCGTATTTGTCACGCATTTGCTGAAGAATATGAAGTCACGCCAGTTATTTTTGCGTGACAGAAAATGTCACGCAAATACGCATTTTACCTGGTAATTGTCAAGCAAAAATATTTCTGTAGAAAATTTTCTAAAAAAGATCGTCTACACAGCAAAAATACGAACGACGGGAAAAAAACGTACGCATTTCGTTCGGACTTTTCACGCGAATTACGGATATGTCACGCATTCTGTTCGAAATGTTTCGTACCTACCCCCCCCCCCCCCCCCCCCCCCCGTTGATGGATGCTTGAAACGGGAGCGTAGCGAGCGCGAAAAATTTGAGGTGTTCAAAATTTGGCAAGATGTAATAAAATTTAAACCAAGGTGTTCAAAATTTGGATCAAGGTGTTCAGATTTGGACCAAGGTGTCCACATTTTGAGGGGAGGTGTTCAACATTTCCAAGTCACTCGTGTTAGGTGTTCCCAAGTTGACAGGCCTGCGTCTTATTCTTTTGTCTGTGCGATTACAACATGGGAGAATTTTCTACGCTACTTACACTTAAGATACCTATTTCAATAGATTCCTTGGTATCTTAGCAGTCTTTTTGTGTAGTTGAATCCACAATTGTGTGGGTTTATCGGCAGAACGAAGAGGTTTTCGTTTTTGATAGCAATATTTGCGTGTAATATTTAACTTATTTCAACCGTCAAATTCCTCCATTCAGTTCCCGGCATGCACCAGTCATAAGGGAAATCCCTGGGGAATTCCCCTTCCGACATTTTGAAAATTGCTGATATATTTCCGATGTAAAAACTAAAATCTCTTCGTTCTGCCGATAAACCCATACAATTGGCGATCTAACAACATAAAAAGAATTCTAAAATACTCTGGAATGTATCAAGGTAGGTCATTTAATAGTGCAATGCGTAGTTCATTCTCCGACATTGTAGAAAGACAGGCTTACCAATGATACCGGCGTACGACCACAATCTAAAGGGGTCGTAGGATGCGATAAGATTCTGCCTACAATGCATGAAATAAGGAATAAGGACAAATCGTACCTGTAATCGAGCGGATCACCAGTGTATATACAGGGTGAGATAATTCATATTATGGCATCAACTTTGACAAGTTGGTTCATCCAGTTGTCAGGTAAGAGATTTTCAGGTAATTCATTTTCTTCCCGATCTTCAACGTTTGGTGTAATGGTGTCATCAACTGGTTCAAATTTATTGTCGCTCTCATCAACATCATCGTGCTGATGGGTTGAGCAGTTCTCACACACACCTTTGCGGCACTTACATGAACTTCCACAAATGAGATCCTATTTCTTACAACTACATCTCATTGAGTCACACGCTCCTTTACAACTACAAGCAACAAGCTCCATTATTTATTGTGGGGCAGGACCGTTTTCCATCCACTTAATTTGTAGTTTATTCCCTTTGAATGTCCAACCATGTAATGTGGGGAATTGATAATCAATCATTGATTTGCCTGCGTTTCGCCAAATATAGGCCTGATAGTTGGCTCTATTTATATGGAGAATGAGAGCATCCTTTGTTGGTGGTAAATGCTTTGACTGTATTTTATATTTATCTACAAACTTCCAAGATGGCCGCCAGAATGCAAGATGGCTATCGAAAAGTTAATCAGCTCTATAACTTCTTACCATGTAACATGTGTAAAAATTTGAAGTAAAACTGTTACGTGGTTTTCATGGAATCGTGATGACAAGATTTATCTAAAAACTTCCAAGATGGCCGACGGAATGCAACATGGCCACCGAAAAGTTAGTCAGCTCTAGAACTTCATACCATGTAACATGTGTGAAAATTCGAAGTAAAACTGTGAAGTGGTTTTTCTGGAATCGTGATTACAAGATTTATCAATAAACCTTCCAAAATGGCCGCCAGAATGCAAGATGGCCACTGAAAAGTTAATCAGCTCTAGAACTTCATACCATGTAACATGTGTAAAAATTTGAAGTTAATCTGTTAGGTTGTTTTCCTGGAATCACTATGACAAGATTTATCCCAAATTTCCAAGATGGCCGCCAGAATGCAAGATGGCTGCCGAAAAGTTATTCACCTCTATATTTTCTTACCATGTAACATGTGTGAAAATTTGAAGTAAATCCGTTTGGATTTCCTGAAATCGTGATGACAAGATTTATCTTAAAACTTCCAAGATGGCTGCCAGAATGCAAGATGGCCACCGAAAAAATAATGAGGTCTAGGACTTTTTACCATGTAACATGTGTGAAAATTTGAAGTACATCTGTCATGTGGTTTTTGTGGAATCGCGATGACAATATTTATCTGAAAAAAATTCCAAGATGTCCGCCCGAATGTAAGATGGCCGCCACAAAGTTAATCAGCTCTAGAACTTCTTTTCATGTAACATGTGTGAAAATGTGAAGTAAATCCGTCTAATGGTTTACCTGGAATCATGATGACAAGAAAGTGAGACTTCAGAATGCCACCTTGTCTATCCCGTTTTGGTGCCTTTTGCCCCTGTTTACATCAATAAGAAGAGTTGTTTTCTTTAAGAGGGAAGTCTGTTCTTTCAAACGGTACAATCATTTTATGTGGGAAAGTACCGGACAACAAAACTTTTTTTCAGAGGGTCCAGATCAGGGACTATCCGTCCATGTTTACGTTTACTCCGATCCACTTAATAAATATCTAAGCACGTGTGCCCAAGGGTGAGGACCAAAAGTTGTAATGTAACTAAGCAAGTAAAAGCAAACTCTAAGTGCATACCAGTCAAGAAAAAAACATATATCCCAAAACCATGATCTAACTTGAAAAGAAACAATGTCTAATACCCCCTTTCCCCAACCATTAAAGAACCAATATCACAATCCAAGACAAGAACACCAAGGGACATTTCATTCATACTGAAGTCATTACAATACACGTTGAAGAAAAAATTAGAAATTGATAGCCAATACTCATAACATCAAAAATAGTTGTAGATACAAGTACTCATACGAGATAGAGCATTCAGTCTCAAACGATGTGGGATAGATAAAATCCAGTCTCCAAGTCCATAGGCGTTTCAAAGGGTCAACATCCATTCACAAAAGCCGTCGCCATAATCCATAAAACACAATAATTCACAATGGTTATCAGGAGAAAACTATGACTCACCACTTTAAAACGTCTTAATTTTGTTTAACAACAGTGATGTAAGATCAGCCAATAATTAAACACCAGATAATAAGAATATAAACGAGTTATTCATTAACCGTCTAATGGTTTACCTGGAATCATGATGACAAGAAAGTGAGACTTCAGAATGCCACCTTGTCTATCCCGTTTTGGTGCCTTTTGCCCCTGTTTACATCAATAAGAAGAGTTGTTTTCTTTAAGAGGGAAGTCTGTTCTTTCAAACGGTACAATCATTTTATGTGGGAAAGTACCGGACAACAAAACTTTTTTTCAGAGGGTCCAGATCAGGGACTATCCGTCCATGTTTACGTTTACTCCGATCCACTTAATAAATATCTAAGCACGTGTGCCCAAGGGTGAGGACCAAAAGTTGTAATGTAACTAAGCAAGAAAAAGCAAACTCTATGTGCATACCAGTCAAGAAAAAAACATATATCCCAAAACCATGATCTAACTTGAAAAGAAACAATGTCTAATACCCCCTTTCCCCAACCATTAAAGAACCAATATCACAATCCAAGACAAGAACACCAAGGGACATTTCATTCATACTGAAGTCATTACAATACACGTTGAAGAAAAAATTAGAAATTGATAGCCAATACTCATAACATCAAAAATAGTTGTAGATACAAGTACTCATACGAGATAGAGCATTCAGTCTCAAACGATGTGGGATAGATAAAATCCAGTCTCCAAGTCCATAGGCGTTTCAAAGGGTCAACATCCATTCACAAAAGCCGTCGCCATAATCCATAAAACACAATAATTCACAATGGTTATCAGGAGAAAACTATGGCTCACCACTTTAAAACGTCTTAATTTTGTTTAACAACAGTGATGTAAGATCAGCCAATAATTAAACACCAGATAATAAGAATATAAACGAGTTATTCATTAACTCAAGTTGAGTAATATCCTACATGTGTACAGTTTTATGTCAACAAGTATCAAGTATGTTCGAAGAAATTGCCAGTACAATGCTTCTTTTTCATGTACCACCACGGGGCTTTCAGATATCTCAACATATATTATTGTAAACATGTCCGAAGGCAACATTAACAGTTATAACAATAGCAATATGGAACTCGAGATGAACAATGTGTCTGTTGAAAACGGAACGTTAACGGTATCTGAGGAAGAACGCTTACTTCTGCGATCAGAGGGAGATCACTCGGTTGTACATATTAGTGACAATACACAGGCTCAGTCGGTAATAGCAACTTATCCAACAGAGCCAGATAAAGACCACACGGCGAAGATTTGTGACAATGAATCCCGGAGCTGCCGTATTAGAAAATATTGGATAATAACTAGTGTTTCTGTAATTATATTAGTATCTATAATTGCAGGACTAATTATAGGGCTAGCCTTGGAACCAGGTATTAATTTAATGTTTATTTAATTTAATTTGATAACGGCAGTATAAATACAATGACTGCCATTGATGGAAATAGTGCAAAATATTTTTCCAGAGGCAATATCCTGTCCATTCATGTTCACGAGAATGAGGATTCAGGCAGTGGAAACATGTCAGCAGACAGGATCGATATTGTCGTGGTGAAATTTTTGCACTAGTATTCAAAAATGTTGCAGGCATTATTTGTTTTTGTTATTTACCCCATATGTGCCTTGTAAAGAAAATGACATAAGAAGTATTTCAGTTCAACATTTAATGCTTACTTACATTTAAAGTGATTTTGCGATTCAAACTTCTTTATAAAATCCCTGCTATCAGCGAAGATAAAATTACCGTTGAATGGTCACACGACGTAGCTGGTCTGTAGAACTCTTCATCTTCCCTGTCAATAGGGATTCAGGACTTTCCAGGGAATAAGTTTATCTATTCCATTTCATGTGACCATAAATAAGCACAAGAGCATCTAGCATACATATGGGGTACATAATAAAATATTTTAATTATGTTCCGCACATGGGGCATTTAGCTAGCTCAATAAGATTCCATAAATTGTTTATCTGTATTTGTCATCTGTATATCGGCGTTTGACTTATTTAATATATTCTGAATATATGATTGAAATCTCAGAAAGAAACAATCATTTGTGGCGTACTAGTAGCAATTTAAAAAATTGAAAACAGAATATCACACAATATTTCATAAAAAATTGATTGACTTTATAATGCCTAAACATATGGATGGTAACTGTGATATAACACTCTTTTAACTGTTTATGTTAATTTACATTTCTGAATAAATTATGCTAAACTTTCAATTTTCTTATTTTCTCAATAGTACAAGATCTTCGTCGTCCAAAAGTATCATTTTGTTCGAAACGATGAAGAAATCGTGAATCTTTGTATGATGAAACAACTCTATATTGCAATTAATTTTATCCGCCCGAGCAAGTTGAAGGGTGGGTATTACAAGATTACAAGAGAGATTTTGCAGGATTTAGATTTATTTGTGATTTTAAGAATTTTACTTCCCCCAATTCAATTTTGAGTATATCTATTTTCAAGAATATTCCCTCATAATTTTTGTTTTAGCACATTAATGCCAATAAAAAAAATCCATAACCTTGCTCAAGTACCATTTGATAGAGCAAGAAAGTATGACAGTGATTTGTCCATGTAAATTTGAGAGAATAAATCCCAACAAACCCACCCCTTCCTCACCAGTGGGGAGGGGGTAAAAATAAAAAAATATTTTGTGAGTACATTATTTGTTCAAATTCTTTTTATCCTGCCTAAGGTGGTCAATTAATATTAAGTTCACAATTTATTAAGCATTTTACTACCCCCAATTCAATTTTGAGTATATTTATTTTCAAGAATATTCCCTCATAACTTTTGTTTTAGCACATTAATGCCAATCAAAAAAATCCACAACTTTGTTCAAGTACCATTTGATAGAGCCAGAAAGTATGACAGTGATGTGTCCATGTAATGTTGAGAGAATAAATCCCAACAAACCCACCCCTTCTTCACCGGTGGGAGGGGGTAAATATTAAAAAATATTTTGTGAGTACATTATTTATTCAAATTTTTTTTATCCTGCCTAAGGTGGTCAATTAATATTAAGTTCACAATTTATTAGGCATTTTGCAGGATATTTTGGATTTATTTGTGATTTAAAGCCTTTTTCTACCCCCAATTCCACTATTTATTAGACATTTTGCAGGATATTTTGAATTAATTTGTTATTTTAAGCCTTTTACTACCATCAATTACATGTTGAGTATACCTCATTTCAAGAGGATTCTCCCATAACTTTTGCAATAGTACATCAAAGGGTAGCCATCAAAGCCTATGAAACAATTCCACAACATTGTTCTAAAATCATTCCATAGATCCAGAAAGTATGACAGTGATGTGTCCTATTTATGTTGAGAAAAAAATCATGACTGCCTCACCCCTTCTTCAACAGAGGGTAGGGTCAACATGAAAAACTATCTAGTGAGTATATTATGATTTGCAAACTCACTCACTACAAACTTTTTTTTATCATGCTTAAAATGATCAATTAATGTACAGTTTGCTATTTATCAGACATTTGAAAGATATTTTGAATTCACTTGTGATTTCAAGCTTTTTACTACATCCCAATTTAGTGTTGAGTATACCAATTATCAAGAATATTGAATCATAGTTTTTTTGTATTGCATTGATACCAATGAAAATATTCAACAACATTGCTCAAGTATCAATTGATAGATCCAGAAAGTAAGACAGTGATTTGTTTGATCAATATTGAGAAAAAGAATCACAAGATCCAGACCCATTCTTCAACAGGGGGTAGAGTCATTATGAAAAAGTATTTAGTGAGTACATTACTAGTATTTGTGCAAACTTTTTTTTATCATACCTTAGATGGTCTGTTCATGTAACCTTCAATTTTTGCAGGTATTCTGTAGGATATTTAGAATTTATTTGTGATATTGATCTTTTTAAGCCCCCCCCCTTCCTAATTCATTGTTCTGTAAATAATGGAATCCAATGAAAAATTCTTATATTACATTACTGATATATCATTTCATAGATCCAGAAATGATGCCAGTGATGTATCTAGTTAATATGAATTTATAAGTTCATATAGACATTACTCCACCCACATCAACCCGGTGTCAATGGGGAATTTAATAATGATTCATACATGCACATACATTACCTACTGTATTGCATCAAGCATGAGATTTCTACTACTATAATTAAGTACGTCTATTAACATATTGTTCAAAAACTGATCCTTGTGTGGGGGTCCCTTGAGAAATGTACAATTTAACTTGATTTTTACCTACATGATTTTCTAAGGTATTTCATACTCATAGACAGACCATCATACACCATGGCCAATCATGGTATTCTGTGCATCTTATGGTGGATTTAAACAATAATTTATTCATCCTTCTTGCAATTAAATAATATGGTTGCAGTATTTTTTATGGTAAATTTTGACCATGAAAAAAACAATGGCCTCGAAATGGCATGCTACATTAACATAAAGCTGCAGATTAAATTGCAGATTTTCAGTGTATTAGCATGAAGTTTACTATTTATATTGCTAGCTTGATAAACTAGATTGCTCAAATTGATTTAAGAAAACGTAAGATTGTCTCTTGTTAAATGAGTGAAACAATAATTTCAAAACCAGATTCTCAAGACATTCAGGGAGAGATTGTTAACTCCCCCCCCCTGCACATACTGAATAGGCAATATATTTTTTCTGCATCAGTCAATATTTGTTATAATATAAAATCAGTTTGGACATTACGATATATTAAACCTTTTTTAGCTGAATTTTCTTGATTAAACATCAAAAGATAATAGTGATATAATATCCTCAAAATTAATGTTAACAAAACTTGAAAAGGTGGACAACAAAGGGGTTAAAATATCAATTTTGCAATAAACAACTAATTCCAATGATCATTACCTATAATAAACACATATTACTAATTCTAATGATCATTACCTAATAGTATCAGTTATTTCTTGAAAATCTGAGAAAGAGTTTGCTCAAAATATTTCTCTAGAGTTTAACTCCCCTCACCCCGGACCCTCTCCAGAGGTGGGAGAAAAACATAAATTTTGGGGCAAAAGTGTGCGAGAAACTTGCTCAGATGGATTGTTCATCTAAAATCAAAATATTTATGAAATTTAATTGCTTAATTTCTGCATGAATTCAACAAGAAAGAACTTGAAGATCCTGAACTACCCCCCCCCCACCCTCTTTGCTTCTTGGCTTAGTTGGCTAAGAATTTTTTCTCTGTTTTAAATGATTCATATAGTTTCAAATTCATTGAGCTTATAGCATGATATCAGAGCTCACTTGCTGAATTTTCCATCAATAAAAATGAAAAGATCTTAGAATTATGACACGATATCATCAAAATCCATGTTACCAACAAGAATCACTGAACATTAAGTGATCAAAATATTGATAATAAATTATAAAAGTACTGAAAACAAATTTTCGATATATCTTCTAATTGAATGAACATGCTTCATTATGAAAAACTGTCCACAAAATATATTTTTTGCTTTGCCCCCCCTGCTACCCCTTGGGGGTGGGGGAAAACAATTTTATGGGACAAAAAGTGACAAATGAATTTGCTCGGGTAGATTTTTTTCATTTGAAACAACCAATATATTCATAAAATCACAAGATTCGAACAAAAAATAAGGGATTAGCTTAGACTAGGGACAATATACTTTACCCCCTCCCCCACTCTTGCTTCTTAGCTTACCAGTTTTTCCTCCAATATTAATGATTCCTATAATTTGAAATTTGTAGGACTTATTGAGGCATACTAGAGCTCTCTTCCTGATTTTTTCCATCAATAAATATTGAAAGATCTTATAACTATGACAAAATATCTTCAAAATCCATGTTACCAACATTGTTAAGTAATATGAACAAAAACACCTAAAACTGCTTTCTTATATATTTACTTCTTGAATCAATTTATTTAATGTTGTTATATGAAAAGCTTTTCTTGAAATATTTTTTCTCGTTTTGACCCCCTGCTACCCCTTAGGGGTGGGGGCAAAACATAATTTCCAGGGACAAAAAGTGACCGACAAACTTGCTCGAGTGGATTTTTTATTTCAAACAATCAATATATTCATCAAATCATAATGGCTTAATTTCTTCATCATTTCGAACAAAAAAACGAAGAGCCTAGACTTCAAGACATAAGTACAATATTACAATATTACGTCCTTATACACAGGGAGATATGCCGAGTACTAAAATAGTACTCATGGCATTTTTGCGCTAACTGAGTATTCATTTCAGCAAATATTAGTACTAAATGAGCACTTATGACATGAGTACTGATTTATTGCATGTTTTAGTACTAAATGAGTACTCATATGATGAGTGATAAAATAGCGCTAATTTCATTGATTTTTTATTACTCAATGAGCACTCATACTATGAGCACAAATTAATTGCATGGTTTAGTACTAAATGAGTACTCATATGATGAGTGATAAAATAGCGCTAATTTCATTGATTTTTCATTACTCAATGAGCGCTCATATTATGAGTACTAATTTCACTGGCATGTAGCGGCCCTGATATCGATAAATTCTACACGCAATATAACCCGATTCTACATGCTTGGTTAAAACTTTACACGAAAAAGCTTCGATATCCGGGCATTTACTCTTACACTGAACTGAAAATAACATCGTCTAAACTTGTATGTGTTGGCTTCCGGGTAAGTTTATCAACATTTATACTCAATTGAAAGAGCAGTCGTGCTTATATCGTGTACCAGTTTGATTTATTTATATGTGTGTGTATTTATAACATGATAGCCTAGTAATACTGTGTCGTTAGAACAACTGCTAGATATCGAACTGATGACCTGAAATTACATTATTGGACTGATCGCGCATCTGATATTAAATGATTAATTTGCATTGAATCTGATATTAACTTGCAACCCAATACCATGACTTAACATTTGAATGATAACACGGCCTCATATCCTAATCCATTATACGTCCATTGCAGGCTAAAAATCATTAATGTTTCAATGTGGATATTGTAACGCACACGAGAATACATTCGATTCGTATATTGATCATATATCAATTGAACATGGAGATTTTCCTGTACACTTTTCCCAAACCTGTGGAATAGACAAGATGCGAGTAGAAATTATCTTGATTTACGTCATCAAATATCCAATACTCGCTACGCTCGCTCGTGCAGATATCAATATCCATGAGTGGATTAAAATCATATCACGAGTAAATCATAGGATGTTCTTTTTATTCCATAGTTCAAGTCATCATCAGAATCGTCGGAAATTAAGCGATTTAAATCGAATTTTCCAAACGATCCGGCGATGTTGACACTTAGCCTCGTTTTGAGTCTGAAGTTGCAAAAATCCATAAACCATCGCATACGACGCCGTATGTCATGAGTAAAAAACCGTATGCTATGGATAAGTGAAAATTTGTCAAAATATCATATTTTACCACTGATTGCAAAAATACCGTTTTTATTTTCACATGTTATCCTCTGAATATTATGCAAACTATGGAATGAATAGGGGTTATGCACTGGGAGGTTTTGGATACAGGAAATATCCCGAGGGATATTTCCTGTATCCAAACCGACCGTGCATAACTGTTGTATTCCATACCTGATGAGGTTTGAAATAATAAGCATGTATCCCATATGCTCTGGTGTGTTTACTTGCAAAATATGTTATCATTTACAAAAAAAATTCAAATTTATTCCAAATTGGTTTTCAATTTTTTTCATAACATTTCCAATTTTTTTTTTCAAAATTTTTTTCACATTTTTGCATAATTTTTTTAGAATTTTTTTTTCAAAACTTTTTTTTCAAATTTTTTTTACATAATTTTTTTTCCACAATTTTTTTTCAAATTTTTTTTCCCGAATTTATTTTTAACATTTTTTTTGAGCGGGACATACGATCTATATGTCCCGGAGCTCCGTCGGAGCGGGACATACGAAAAATATTTGCCGGATATGGAATATATTCCCGGTTGATATGCCCCTGAAACCTCATCAGGTATGGAATACATAAAGGTAATGTACAGTGAGGTTTTGGATATGGGGTTTATCCAGAGGGAGATATGCATATTTACCTGAGGGACCGTAGGGACCGAAGGTAGATGTGCATATCTCAGAGGGATGAACCCCATATCTAAACCGACCGTACATAACTGCTTTATCCTATACCAAGTAGAGTTTTCAAGGGCATATGGCCATTTCAATAGTACAAGGTGTAAAAATAAACAAATCATTCATATGCAAAGTCATTTTATTGCATTACCGGAAGTGGGAAGATATGCACCGGAAGCGGGAAGATATGCACCAAAGCGGGAGATATGGCGGGAGATATGGAGGTTCTGGATATGGAAACCTCAAAATCAGGATACGGGATATATCTTACCAACTTATCTCCCTAAAACTCTACTTGGCATATGATAAATATAGGTTATTTACTGGGAGGGATTGAATATGGGTTTTATTCCGAGGGACAATATGATATTGACTGAAGAGTAATATAATATTGATCGAGAGCGCAGCGACCGAGTGTCAATATCATATTGCCCAAGGTCAATATCATATTTTCCGAGGAATAAAACCCATATTCAATCCTGACCAGAAATAACCTATTTATTCCATAATACATCCCTCTAGAATGTTACACTTGGATAATGCAAACGTTATATTAATAAATGCACATTGTTTGAAAAATAAAATAAATAAATGAAATAACCGGGAAACTAAAAAATAGGTCAATACGCTCCAATATGATTTTTTAACGGGGACAATACGATTTTTTCATGTAATACGCTCCAATACTATTTTTTCCCGGGGACAATACGATTTTTTCATGTAACACGATTCAATACAATTTTAATTCCTTCATATTTCCCTGGGAAAACAGTAGTATTATGGAATAAAATATATTTTCCCTCGGGACCTGCGGCCCTCGGACAGATATACTGCATTTGCCTCGGGGTAATCCCAATATCCTGAACCTCATATAGGATAATCTCTATATCTACCTGATGGACCATAGGGACCGGAGGTAGACGTGCATATCTCACGAGGGATAAACCCCATATCCAAACCGACCGCACATATCTGCTTTATCATATACCAAGTAGTTTTCTAAAAAATTAATCTTATTTCCTTTTTTTAATTTTTTTAATTTTTTATTTTTATTCTCTACTCTACTTGTCAAAGGATTATAGACGATAAATATATATATATAGTTTAGCATGATATGTACTTCTTTCTGTAACTGGAATACGATTCTAATATACAAGCAACACATACGTATTCCCGGGGAACCATAAATCTTTTGTGTAGGGTGTGGACATTTTTCTTTTCATTTCTCTAAAATCAGATTATTTTCATAAAATCCATACAAAGTTGGGCCTAAGCCTCTATTTTCGTATTCTGCATGTTAAGATATTTATAATGTAAACCCTAAGAGATAAATTCAATGTCTTCAGTTGAGAATAAGTATAAGGTAAATGTGTGAATGCTGCTTGTCGTTGCACTATTTTTATAATAAACAAGGTTCGATACGCAACACTGAATAGACTGTAGTCATAGCTTAGTTGTAAAGAAAACAAAAGAAGTTGGGACGTGGTCATGCTTGATTATGTTTCTTTTCTATATCACCGTTTGCATTCGTTGGAATCGGCCTGCATTGATTTCAAGAGGTGGTCGGTGTACAAGGTTATATGTTTGAGTTATCGGTTTAATGATAAATGTGACCCTTGAATGCGTTATGCTTTATGTATGCGTGAAACAAATACTCCAATGGCCTAATCTCAATTTGCCTACAAACAATATAACATTGAAATGATGGTCATCTCAGGCCCGTAGCCAGAATTTTCCAAGGGGGGGTTCACTTTTCCCAAAAATTCTAGGGGGGGTTCACTTTGGCAAATTTGGCCAAAAATCATACAAAAAATGGTCAGAATGGTGAAAAACTGCATGATTTTGAAAGATATTTTGGCCAGGGGGGGGGGGGGTTCGCCCGAACCCCCCGAACCCCCCTGGCTACGGGCCTGCATCTGCATATTAACTTCCGCACCACATGTCTAACTTCGACACAATTCAGTAAAGTATCCAGTATCGCTATAATCGCTACATGCCAGTGTAATTTATTGCTCATGTTTCACGAGTGATAGAATAGTACTCAAAGATTAAAATGTTGATAATTTTTTTTTAAAATGATGAAATGAAATATAGAATACGTAATAAATTACATTTTAATAAAAACATGGATAAATATATTATGAAGCTTTTCCAAAAATTCTCATTCCTGTAGCTATTTCATGTAACGCGTTGAAGCTAGGAAACAAAATGACAGACACCATACTGTTCCATTCTTGAGAAAAGTGCATATATATACATTGATTTGTTACCTAGAATAGAGAAAGATGAGGTAAGTTGTATTGAATGAGAAGTTACTAAAATTACAAGGTAAGTGAATTCTATATGTGTAACAATTACAAGCTGACATGGGAGTAAGTCTAAATAACAATATTGAGGGTAGCATGTGAATTGTGTCCAAACTAGAATGATACCCACTGTGTGCTTATTATTTAGTAAATAAACAATATTTTAGTGCTAAATGAGCAATTTTTAGTACTAAAATAGCACTCAATTAGTACTAAATCATTACTTAAAATATTGTTACTAAAACGGTACTAAAATAAACCCTTATTTTTCACAAAATTAGTACTAAAATAGCACTCAAGTAGTAATAAATTAGCACTCTGGCAAAAGTGTACTCATGAGTACTCATGGCACGAGTGCTAGTTTAGTACTAATTTAGTACTCAGCATATCTCCCTGTGTAGAGATGAAGAACTTGAAACAAATTTATTTTTATTCATATGTATGAATAATATTTGATTTGAATACAAATCCACGCTATTACCATAAAATACCATATTACCATTGAACATAAATATAATATGCAATACATTTGCTCTATGTTACCATATAATATGTGACACGCATTTATGAAAATTTCAATAATTATGATGTATCATAATGATGGATCTGCGATTGCGAAATGTACTGAAGTGATCATAATTTTTTGCAGCAATGAGAGACCCAATGCCCACAAGACAAGTTACCACAGCACCAAATATAGACGTAGAAGTCCCAAAAATCCCAGTCGACGATGTGAACGCGACCAGAAAAGGGGACATTGAAAAGCTTCCCAACAGAAACAAAGAATGGTCAATCCAAAATGATACACAGTTTTCAGATTTTGTCACCATAAAAACCTCTGACTTTTTGTGTCAAAACTATCATATAATACTACGAAGACTGTGCCAAGGGTTTTAAACGTGGCTGATGTAGCGATACGGACAAGGAGCGTTGTCAATTATTAGTGACAAATATATTCCATTTCATATACTTTCATCTATCGTATATTATCTGTAAAATAGTTTAAATTGGACTTTCATGTTCAAGGTTCTAAAAAAGATGAATTTTGGTGAAAATATTCTAAGATGGATTAAGATTTTATATAATGACCCTAAATTGCAAGTTAAAAACAATGGATATTTATCGAGAGTTGTATCTGTTAACAGAGGCATAAGACAAGGTTGTCCAGCATCTGCGCTGATATTTATTTTATGTACAGAAGTCTTGTCGTTAAAATTAAAAATGAATGTGGATGTAAAAGGGATAGAAATTAATAATGGTTCACTTAAGACAATTCAACATGCTGATGACACAACATTAATACTTGGTAATAAACAATCAATTCTAAAAGCTATAGAAATCGTGAATAATTTTTCTGATGTTAGTGGTTTGAAGCTCAATATAGAAAAAACAGCTGGAATATGGTTGGGAGGTCAATGACAACAATGAAAAAATATATCAAGATATTCATTTTTCAGAGAATCCAATCAAGTGTTTGGGAATATATATTGGACATAACAAAAAAGAATGTGAAAAATTAAATTGGGAAACTAAAGTCAGGTATTTTGAAAACACACTAGAACGTTGGAAAAAAAAGAAATTTAACTATTTTTGGCAAAGTACAAGTCATTAACTCATTGGGTATCTCTCAATTAATATATAATATGACAGTGCTTACAATGCCTTTAGATATTAAAAAGAAAATTCTGACAGCAATTTTCAAATTTTTATGGAAAAGAGAAGCTGTTACAAGGAAAACGGTAATTAATGACATTGAAAATGGGGGACTTAATCTAGTAGATATTGATACTAAGATAAAAGCTATACGCGGGTCTTGGATTAAAAGACTTTTGCATAATAAATCGTCTTGGAAACTCATCATTGAACATTATATTAACAACTTAGGATTTACTGTAAAACAATTCTTGAAGACCAGAATTTTTGATACGCTCTCGGCGCTTAATCGATTCGTAACAGAGCGCCCAATTTTTTTAAAAAGTTTGAAATTTTTTGGCGCTCTTGCCGAATATCCCGCTTTACTCTGAGCTTTTCTACGACCTATTACGACCCCGACGCTTTTGTCAAGCTTTGTTACGCTTTGGTGCCGCTTTACAAGCCGCTTTAAAGCGCCATCAAAGCGCCGTTGGTATAAAGAAAAATGACAAAAATGACGGCGCTTTGCTCGCCGATTTAAAGCGTGGCATTCGCCGTTGGTGTGAACGTACTTAAGCTACGTTCACACCAATGGCGCTTTGATGGCGCTTCAAAGCGGCTTGTAAAGCGGCACCAAAGCGTAACAAAGTTTGATTAAAGCGTCGGGGTCGTAATAGGTAGTAGAACAGCTCGGAGTTAAGCGGGATATTCGGCAAGAGCACTAAAAATGTAAACTGTTCAAGCTACGTTCGCACCAACGGCGCTTTGATGGCGCTTTAAAGCGGCTTGTTAAGCGGCACCAAAGCGTAACAAAGCTTGATTAAAGCGTTGGGCGCTCTGTTACGAATTGATTGAAGCGCCGAGAGCGTATCAAAGCTTAACAAACCGTAACAAAGCTCAAAAAAAGCTTGACTCAAAGCGTAGGAAAGCTTAACAGAGCTTGGTTCAAAGCGGGGACCCCAGTCTATTCACGGTCTGTTACCACTTGACACGCTTCGTTAAGATGTCTCAAGATTTGCTACGATCTGGCATGAAGATCTGACACGAGGTCAGACGCTTTCATCAATATCTGACACTCTTTGTTACACTTTCATGAGGGACTCTCAAGCTTTCCAACGAATTGAGACGCTTTAATCAAGGATTGAAACGCTTTGCTGTACGCTTGACAAGTTTCCACACGCTATATCACGCCGTGCGACAAACGTCATGTCTTCTTCAGATAGATCATGCTCTGGTCCATCTGGAATTTCTGGATCTCGTTGTTCTGCCATCGTGTTCTCGAGTCAAAGATGCAATGGTTTTATGGATCTACTGCATCTTTATATAGTCATTGGATCAAAAGCGGCATGGAATCGGCGATCTCGACATTTTCCAATGCGTGACAGAGCTTAACAGAGCGTAACAATGCACAACAGAGTTTTGCAATCGTATCAGAGCCTGATTTAAAGCGTCATAATCGCATCAAAGCGTAATAATGCTTATCAAAGCTTATCAAAGCGTGATTTCAAGCGTAACAAAGCCTGATCAAAGTGGGATCAAAGCGTGAGGAACCTTTTAGAGCTATGTTAAGCTTTCCTACGCTTTGGATCAAGCTTTTCTGAGCTTTGTTACGGTTTGTGAAGCTTTGATACGCTCTCGGCGCTTAATCGATTCGTAACAGAGCGCCCACATTTTTTAAAAAGTTTGAAATTTTTTGGCGCTCTTGCCGAATGTCCCGCTTTACTCTGAGCTTTTCTACGACCTATTACGACCCCGACGCTTTTGTCAAGCTTTGTTACGCTTTGGTGCCGCTTTACAAGCCGCTTTAAAGCGCCATCAAAGCGCCGTTGGTATGAAGAAAAATGACAAAAATGACGGCGCTTTGCTCGCCGATTTAAAGCGTGGCATTCGCCGTTGGTGTGAACGTACCTTTATGGAAATTACATTAATATAAAAGATAGTGAACATGTTCTCTTTAAAGATGGATTTAGGCATATAAATACAGTTAGTACGAAGATTGTATATAAACATATAATTGAAGAAAATGTAGAACGGTCAATTTCTGAGAATTACTGGTGCAGAAGTTTTAAGTTGGAGCA